ACTATAATTAATCATGTGTCTCTTAGAGAAATACAATATTCTGTCCCTGTGTCCTAATTTATGCTCCTCTTCCTCTTCGCCGATCAGACTGTTGCCCGGTTGCTATGGCAATGGTCTAACATTAATGAGGGTTTAGAATTTTGGTTCCTAATGGTGCCCGTACAGATGGGAGGTTCTAAGGAGACAAATGAGTCCCCAGTTGCCTAGAGACGAGGTCCGGGTAACCAATAGAAACTCTCATTCGCCCGATCACGTGGGCGGAAACCAGGAAGTGAATACACTTCCGGGCTAGCGACCGGTGCAAGTTTGGCGGCAGGAGTGAATGAGGATCACCTGTGTTGTAAGTATTCTTATTAATTGTTTCCTATATAAGCTCTTTATTTTACTTGTGATTTATGTCCTGATAAAAGCTCCATGAGGAGCTGAAACATTGATGGTGGATTTGGATTAAAGAGAATTTGTCTGCATTGAAAAAGCCTTGAGTGCCGGTAATTTTTTGGATATATCTATATTGCAACCAGAGCACCAGGTACTATCAATTTTGGGTTGGAGTGCAGGAATTAGTTTTGTGTTTGTGTTTTTATATATATATATATATATATATATATATATATATATATATATATGTGTGTGTGTGTGTGTGTATATATATATATATATATATATATATATATATATATATATATATATATATATATATATGTATATATATATATATATATATGTATATATATATATGTATATATAAACAAAACAATCCCCTGCACTTACGCTTTGTAGATCCTCAATTGCCGGGTGCCAAAGCCTGGACTCCAAAGATACAAATGCCAAAAAGAAGCTGCTCACCGGTCTTTAAAAACTTCAATGCTTTATTAAATCAAATTTAAAATGACGACCAACGGTTCAGTCCGCGTTCGGGACTTTCCTCAGGGTCAAATAACAGGCCTTGAGGAAAGTCGCGAACGGGGACTGAAACGTTGGTCGTCATTTTAAATTTGATTTAATAAAGCATTGAAGTTTTTAAAGACTGGTAAGCAGCTACTTTTTGGCAAATATATATATATATATATATATATATATACACAATAAGTAAAGGTATAGCTGCACTCACGGATAGTAATTTTAAAATCTTCAATGCTTTATTGTTCCATACTTAAAAAGATCAACGTTTCAGTCCCACTTGGGGACTTTCCTCAGGATCAAGACATCTTGTCTTGATCCTGAGGAAAGTCCCCAAGTGGGACTGAAACGTCGATTTTGTTATATAGCTGTTGCTGGTACCGTATGTGCCGTTTAAAACTTCTGCTGTGATGCGAGTGTGGCGGGACACCGCCACTAAGTGCCATGTCCACTGAGTATTCAGATGTTTGGTTTTGTAGGGGACTTGTGATTATAGGTCCATTGGGGAGCAGGTAGGACAGTCCCTGACACAGGAACCGAAGACAGGGTGCACAGGCTGGTTCTGAATCAGAATGCTGCTCTCTGGTGACGTTCGGTTATACGAACCGGCCAACACCAGGGGAAGCACGCGCCGCTTATTCCCATGCGGTCTGCGGTTTTCACACCTCGTTAGCGAGGTGTGAACATTCTAACCACACATTCTAAATGGAGTATTGGGTGGCCAGAGCGCCCCTGCGAGGCTGAAAATCAAAATACAAGGGGAAACACATATTCAACAAGGTAAAATCATAACAATACACAGTGGGGACACAAAATACAAAACCAAACATCTGAATACTCAGTGGACATGGCACTTAGTTACGGTGTCCCGCCACAGCGAGGTATAGTCCAAGATCTAATAGAAGTAGAACTAGCTATTTCTCCTTGTGAATATGTGTCTGACCTAGCAGGAGTGCTGGGAAGGGACAGGTCTTCCCACCTTCTTGTCGTTGAAACATGTGTAAATAACATAAAGTAATTTGTGTATACCTTTTTAACGTACTTGCTTACCATCTGATGCCAAGTGGCAAAACTATTAAACTTGATTGGTGACGGGTGAGGCCCTGCTAGATACCAAGCGACTTGAGAGGCTCTATATATGCATAGGAGCCAAGGGATTCCGTGGCCACTGAGCTTTGTTGCGTGGTGTCGGCCACTCTGTGACTTTTAAAGCATAAGATAGAATGGGAGTGACAGGCGAGGCCCTCTCTATGCCACCATGCGAGGCGACTAGCTATGAGTTGGGCCGATGGGAGTAGTATCTCCGAGCATGAGGATGGGTGTTGACCTTGCAAGACCACTAACCTAAGGCATAGAGGCCTGAGAAATTATTAACTATTGTACTCTTGATGTCCTGTCAGTCAGTAACGAAACTAACTAATCGAAGAATGGTATGGTAACGAATAAGTATGTGTAAATTGACGTACTTCAGAAATGCGGTTTAACACAATAAGGTGGATTGGAGCCGACCTATAGGGGGTAACAAGATATTTAATGCAAACTCATATGAAGCCATTTGTATGAATGGCTGTAACTGAATATATAACAAATTGAAAATGCAATTAGAAGTCCCGAAAGCTTGTGAACGGAAACTAAAGCAAAATCATTCATGAATTTTAAACAAACCAATAGTAACATGAAGAACATACGAAAGTAAGTGTGCGGAATGTTTTAAGCAGTGAGATAGACCTAAACTGTGATGATGCTGTGGGACTGTAACCGTGAGGTCAGTATCTTATGGTTTTGGAGTGTTTCTGGTTCCGTCCTCATAGAGCTGCAGGCCTGGAGGGCTGAAGAGGGGACAATCCCTTAAGCAGAGTACAGCAGCCTAGGAAGACAGAAGGTACAGGTGAACCACGTGGAGGATGAGGTATGTTTGCAAGTTGGCGATTTGCATGTGGCCCGGAAGTAGTCACATGCAAATCGCTAGACCAGAAACTGTACAGGAGAAGTAGAGGAGTCCCTTAAAAATGTAAATATATATATATATAGTCAATACATTGTTAAACACAGATCTGCAGACCAGTCAAGCCATAAGACTTGCTCTTCACACAGAAATCTCAAATACAAACTTATATAAGATATATGCAAAAACTTTGGGCAGCTGTGCAAGGTCCTTGCATGGAGCAAGATAGGCACATGTGTCATTGTTTCTAATGGTTCCAATGGTCTACCTCCAACAGTCACTTGTAACTGTAATTTTATCCAGCACGCGCACAGTAGACCTTCCCATAGGAAAGGTCCTCATGCATAGCGTGAGGACTTCCAACGTCGTTTAAAACACTTTTTGTGTTCTAAGAACACGAAAGACCCTCTAGTGGCTGTCTGATAGACAGCCACTAGAGGTGGACTTAACCCTGCAAGTTTATAAAAACTGCAATAATTACACGTTGAGGGTTAAGGGTGGTGGGAGTTGGCACCCAGGCCACTCCAATGGGCAGAAGTGGTCTGGGTGCCTGGAGTGTCCCTTTAATGATCTAACTGAACCACAGCTCAAGTGTCTAAATGCATTTTAAAAGGACAACCATCTATCTGTGTCATTAGCATCAATTACACATGTGCATATCCTGCTCCATGTAAGGACCCAGCACAGCTGCCATATTTATTAACTTCCAGGATACCACAGAATCAGAATAAGGCATTAGTTCAACAGGAGATGTGAATTGGAGAACTGTAGACACACAACTGAGCAATTAGGTAGAAAGTATTAAAAAGGGAGGAGGAGGCATCTCCTCTTTATGACTCCCTCAAGTCACTCTGTCATTTTCTCCATAAGGTGCAACATGTGCAGCAAGCACACTGCCTAGGGACTCCAGGGGTGAATGGGACCTGAAGCATGAGACTCTATCTGCAGAGGGAACTGTACCGACACGCCAAGAATCAGGACCTCATCTGAAACACAAGGAAGCTGAAGAGGTTGAATACCTTGCAAGCGAATACACATCAATCTAGGAGCATGGAGGAATGCGGCGAGAGGAAACCGGCCATGCAGAAACAGTGCACAGAAAGGTGTGTTACTGACAAGAAGTTCAAATTGTAGCCATTAAATTATTAAATATAATAATAATAAACAACTAATAGAACTTTAGTGAACAATGTAACATTTTAAAAGCAGCAGCTTTAAGCAAGAGCTGCTATGTATATTATATGTAGTATGTTTTATATACTATTGAATTGATATATTAAGCAGGTATAACTTCTATGAGTTAGGATTTGTCCACTTATATGTCTCCAAATATTTGTAATATTTAATAACAGGATGAAAAAACATTGCTAATCATATTATAATTAAGCATTGTGTCAAGCCTCACGTTTGTTCATTATTTATTTGTCATTTTTACTGTCTATGTGCCTAAGCTTATTATGATTTGATTTAAAATTAAATGGAGCATTCTGCAGTACTAAATGTGGTTTTAGAATTGTATTCATTAATCAAATAAAATGTAGAGAACTTGTGAGTTTAATGAGGAAATTATGGTAAATATTTTGTTTCATAGATGGATTTCTCTAGAGGCAGACTTCGACCTTTGCCTGCCAATGAATGAATATGTGTACTGCTAGCTAGATTCTTTAGCTGTATCAACAATACAGAAATAAACACCCCACAAATAATTTTTCATTGGTACATTGTTCTATTATTTGACTCTTTTTTTCACTTTAGACCTTTTTTGAAAATCCATCAAACACAAAAATAAATTCAGTAGTAGTTGCACAAATATTAACATATTGCAATGATGATCATTCCACTTAATGCTTCAGTTACTTTACATTATCCTGCACTTCACACTGAAGATTATGTTTCTCAGCATGTTCCCCAAATTAATCCCACAGTGCACAAAAAAACCTTTAAATGTGTTCTTTAGATACATGAACCTGTATTGATACTGGACATATCTATTTGCGCCTCCATTTGTCAATTTTCTTCTCTATTTTCTGTTCAAATTATAGTTTAACAATTATGTCTCATGTTATAGTCCAACAGGGTCGGGAAGTATAAAGTGAGAGAGTTAAAATACATAGTAAAAACAAAGAGAACGTTACTTGCGCTCTGGCCTAAATCCCCATGTACATTTAAACAAAATGGAGGCTCTTATTGAGGCTTGCTTTGACGTGGCAGGTGAGCTTATATATTCAAATGGAATAAAACTAAAGAGCCTCCATTTTGTTTAAATGTACATGGGGATTTAGGCCAGAACACAGGTAACGTTCTCTTTGTTTTTAAGCTGTTGGATACTAAGCTACTGCTGCTTTAAGCACGGTGCTTTATCTTTGTGTATGTATATGATGTTTGTATCACACAGCTATGTTACATTGCTGCCAGCCTCACCACGTTTGTCTTATTAAGAGTTTATAAGTATGTAGGGGCAGCACCTCTTCCTGTCTCATCAGAGAAATTTGCCTTTTAGCTGATACCAGCAAGGTGATTTGTATGTGTTTTAGCCCTATTCAGGGTTAAGTATGTAGGGGTTTATAAAACACCCCTTCCTGTTTCACTGGAGATTCTTGGCTGATATCAGCATATCTAATGGCTAGTGTAGGAACTCACCTATTGAGGCTTACCATTGACTCAAGGTGAGCCTATATATTCAAATGGCCATTGGAATAAAATTAAAGAGCCTCCATTTTGTTTAAATGTACATGGGGATTTAGGCCAGAGTGCAGGTAACGTTCTCATATAGGCTTATGCTTTAGCTGCCAACAAATGTATTTTTTTTTTTTGTTAGGGAGGGACTCATTTTTAGTTTGTAAAAACATTTTGCCCTTTCAATGATGGTTATGCTGTGTAAAATAAATGGTAACAATTTAAATAAAATCAATTTCTGGGGGAAGAGTCTGAATGTGTTTGAGCATAGCTCCAACAACATCAAGCCTAACTTTATGTACTAGTGAATCTAACTTTCATTTTTATATAGAAGAAAATATAGCAATGAAACACAGAAATATGTGTCTAAAAGCTGAAAAATAGGAGGGAGTAAAGGTATTTGACTGGTAAAAGGTATTAGGATAGATACAATAATAGTAGCTCAATACTGGAGAACAGGGACCATTAAACCCTATATGGAAAAATATAAAACCAAATTCACTAAAATGTTAAAGTGATAATACCAGGAGCTAACATAAAATGGTATCGATAAGAGCATAAAACGTGAAAATGAACTTAAATCAAATATTGTGACTTTTATTCATTACATTGTTTCTCTATGAATTTAGCTATTAACTCCTGATATTATCACTATAGCATTTTAGTGAATTTTATTTATTTTTTATATGTCCATCTCTTATCTTCCTACCTCTTTTTATATTGGTGAGGTGAATGTCACCATGTAAAAGTTAAGATTCAGGCTCTTGTAAAGCCCAAATCTTCCATAATTGAAGGTCGCCTTAGATGGCCAAAGATGGAGGCACTGAAGCATTGCAATGCTCCCCACGTTACAAAGACAGTTGCATGTGCCTGGCCCTCATGGTTACTAAGGCTGGTATTGATCATCTCTTTTTCAAACCCTACTCCTTGGAATTCACACTCAATGGGAAAATCGACAAGAGTGAAATTTCTTGTCAGATTTCCTGTACTTCAGTCTTGTCAGATTTCCTGTACTTCAGCATCAACATGCAATAACCACAGGGAAGCCTCCAAAAAGTCAGCAGGGATTTAACTACATGAATCGCATAATTTCTACATGTGGGCTTGATGCCTATGCCAACACACTCAGGGATATGAGACAGTTAGCCTATGCCCAAGCTAGGTAAGATCCAAAGGTTTGCATGGGAGTCACCCAACCAAACAGGTCAAACAGGCCCAGCCCTGCATCCACACCAGCTCAAAGCACTACCAATGACTAACACCAGCCTACACGGAGCCAGCACTGCATAATCCATCCTCCTGGGGGATCTGTAGAGGAACCCTGGACTAAATTGGCTTTTCCTCTGTCTCCTGCAAAATTTCTGCTGCATGCATGGGTAGCATGCTGGGGGCTTTCTTCAAATGGCTCCTGACCCAGGTAGACCCTGCTGTGGATGTATACTGCTGCATCTGTAGATTTTGCCCAATACAGACCTTGACAATCCTCCCCCAAACCAATCCTCCTCCAAGCTTCTCACACCCTTCAGACGGTAAGTAACAGGCAGTGATTGATCTTGGTGGGAGAACAGTCATGCCCAAAACCTATTGCAGATGCAGTCGAAGGTTGCTAATATTGTATTCATTGGTAGATCATACTGCAGGGCTTTTGGCTGAGCGTCCATTTTATAACATGTATTTTCGCAATAAGAGAACTCAATGTGCAGAGAGCCCTTGGTGGGTAGGGATGGATTCATTTTATAATGTGTTCATTGTTTGTTTTATTTTTCACATTTTTTTATCTTGCATCAAGGCATAATAGATTTTCATTTGGCCCTTTTTGGGGCTGGAGATAAGAAGGGTTAGAAGAAAAAAAACTTCAGACTATTTTTTTATGGGTGAACAAACAGAGGGGTAAGGAAAGGGAAGAATAAGGTAAAATGAGAAAAACAACCAAAAACATGCCAAAAAATGTAAGCACAAAAAAAGAACAATAGAGCTAAGATACAAAATAATACATTTTATAGACATGACACAATTTACAAATCAAATCACCTTAGCTAGCACACCACTTTTATGTGATGGGAGTGGATTGGTTAGGGCTGGAGAGGTGAACTACTTATATATGCCACTACCACTAATATGATGATCCACTGAAAATGATTATTATCGCTTTACTTACTTTGTTCATGTCTCTTTCTGGACAATTTTAACCAGTACTGGGAGAGGATATAGTTCCTCACTGTAGTTAGGTTTGCATTTTATGTTTTTACTCATGGCTGTTATCATTGATATCTTATTTTAGCTGACTTGATGCAGAAAGAAGATAAATGGATATTGACTCATCTTCTATAATACTGAGTATGCTTCAAACTGAACCACCCACTTGGTGCTTGTATTTAACTGCATTTTATTATTTTCTTTATCACTTTCTGCCCTTCACTTTTTCTTTTTCTTTTTATTTTCTTTCTCCTTTCCTCTCTTTCTTGTTTGCTTAGTCTTAGGTAGGTGAAAGAGAAATTCTGAGTGAGTGAGTGAGTGAGTGAAAGAGAAATTCTGAGTGTACAGCCATGCATTATAATTTATGTAGCTCCTTCTTTTCAGTTGTCATGGTCTCCTCACTTAAGTTTTTTTACCTGAATATTAAATGATGGAATTCTTCTAAAAAGTGGAAGTTTATATTTTTTTAGCTAAAATGTTCTAAGACAGCTGTTGCATTTATACAGGAAACTCACATTTCTAAGTCTTCCCTTTTCACCAATATGATGGCTTGTATAATAATGACTTCTCCTCTCTTCTTAAAAGAATGACTTTTCCACCTTTACACATGAGAATTGTCCATTTGTGAATATTAATCAGATTTGTGATATGTGACGAAACGTTGTCACTGAGTGGATGCCTACATATCTTGCCCTGTAAAAAGCATGTAAAAAAAAGACTCTGTTTGTGATTTTACTGGTTTATTTTTAGGGTTCTTATATGTGTGGGATCTATGTGTAATAGTTTATGTTTTGTGATCTGTAATTAGGGGGATAATTAGGTTAAGCAAATGTCTCTTTTGGATATGGTATTGAATTAAGGGTTTCTGGAAGGCTTGATCATTACCAAAAGACTTCCTATCTGAGAGGCAAGCAAGACATATGGCAGATGTGAGCTCAGATTTCTAGGACACTTCTGTGTGACTTCCCAAACCTGACAGAATAGTTCTGCTGGAGTCCAAGCTTTAAAGAGGAACTGGGGTTGTAAGCTAGGACATTGCATTTAATCAATTAACCCCTTTTGAAATATTGAAATGTGTTTGTGGGGTGTTGGGAACTATTGTAGATCTTTCTGTACCTGTGAGATAATTAAATTAAAGAGGCTTCCTCACGCAATTATCTCTCAGGCACAGAGGGTCATGGGAGGGATTGCCCTGTAACTTTGTGTTGGAAACCCCTTGCAGGCGGCTTTTGCATAAAAAGACCAAGTTGGATCCAAAACTTGGGTCCAGGGTGGGAGGCGACGGTGAGACCCCAACCAAGCTGCATCGGCTAGGGGTTGGAAGTGCTTACGGTGTCCCGGCAAAGTGCTTATGGTACTGTAACAAACCACCTCTTTTACAGGTAGGATTTTGTCACAGATCTTACAGTAGACCACAGCCTTCTAGGGTATACAAAGTCCAGGACACATTCAGTTCAGTTTTCCTTTTTTATTTGATAGGAAAAACAGCTGCTTTAAATAATAATAAACAAAACAAAATTCCTTGCTCTTACTTGAGCTCTAAATATACAGCAATCACTAACTATAATTGGGTGGCTTTCCCACTTATCAATTTTCCAAAAAAACTAAATAGCTTTGCAATAAACACAATTGTTGTTCTCGCTCCTTCAGCACTCCTAGCTGGCTTTTTCTCCCTCACTCTGCAGCAGGCTGATCTCTTCTTTTAAAGGCCTATCTGCTAATTGACTAGCTACAGGTGAGTGCCAATTAGTTAACTTTTAAGTCAAATCCAAATTCGGGTCTGTTACACAGCAACTAGTGCTGTTGGAGCATTGGCCCACCCTGCTCTCCAAATGCTCCGCCCCAGGGACCCATACCGTGTTTTGCAGAGCATCAGCAATGTATATTGCAAACTTTAACATCTCCCTGGGGCATTTAACTGAAAATTCTCTTGTTTCTGTTTATCAAATCAGGCCTGATGTATCTTCCATCAACCACTATTCCACTTTTTCGCTCACAGTACTCAGTGATAACTAGGAAGCGCGATTGGTGGAGGTATCCAGTCGGGGTGCCAGGTGGTTCTACCACATGAGACTAATGACCATTATGTTTTATTTAAATTTACAGTGCTTCTAAAAAGTATGCTCTAGGCCAGCGGTGCTCAAAAGGTAGATCCCAAGATGTTTTAAAACTACAGTTTACATGATGCTTTGTCATTCTAAAGCATCCTGAAGACATGCAAAGCATCATGGAAGTTGTAGCTCTACAACATCTGGGGATGTACCTTTTGGGCACCCCTGCTTTATGATGTACATATATATGAATCTATGACTGCTGATTGAGAACTCATACTCCCCCCCACCTCATTCTTACTCGCGTAATGACACTTTCCTAGTTTTCTCAACTAGTCACCTCCATGCTAA